AATAGTTATGTTGGTATCATATGTTTTTCCTATACAAAAATAAATGATGCTCTAACTCGCAAAATTTGTGCGATATCTTTTCAAAATCTTCAAGACTTACATAACTGTTGCATTAGAATTTTCATTCTCATTGTAAACTTTTTCTAACTGCAAAACATTTGTTTGATATCAAGGAAGCTCATATAAGCACCACTGATGAGTTTATTCTTTTAAGGTTTGAAACTATGTTGAGTAATTGGCGAATCATTTCAAGAAAAAAAAATCATATCCAGGGGCATGTCACCTGAAGACCGTAAGCACGAACATGTTGCTTCTCCCAATTAATGCTTTCCCAACTTGTTTACCCTTTATTGGGGCAAAAGTTGAAGACTTTGTTGTGCTAACTACAGTCAATTCGGGGCAATCACGTCGAGATTTATTGAATCTCTCTAAGAGTTTGAAGACACCAGAGCATGGTGAATGCCAGGTCTTTTGTAAAATCCTCTTGAGACGATTCCTCCTCATCAACTAGATAGCTTGGGGCATGTTAGAAGTGAAGCTATTCGCAAGAATTGTCGTGCAACATGCAGCTCATCAGCAGTAAACTTGGGGCATCCAAAATTAGTCCCAGGGGCAATCCAGATTTGTCAAGATATGTTTTTCATACATTATCAGAGGGTGGTGTTCCCAGTATCTCCAGCTAAGCATGATTTTTTTTTCCAGCTGAAACTTTGTTTGTGTTGTTATCCTTTCAATGGATTGTTAGTAATAGAAGACTGAACTTTGGGCTTTCTACCAAAAAATATCTTCCTCTCCAAAGAGATTTAAGCCTTGTAAAAGGACTTTGCCCCAATGATGGATTTTGTTTTTATCTCCAGTAATGTTCCCCTTTTGTTGAGATTAGCTGAGCGGCGGGTTGTACTGGGACGTCTTATCATCTTCTGTCTATCTCCCCTGTCTGTTTTGTCAACATATACATGACATTCATTCATTCGTTCATACTTGCATTATGCATGCACAGTTGTATTTGTTGATGTCATTAAGTTCGTACACCTTGGTTATGTCTATTCAAATAACATATTTGATCTTTCCAAATAGAGTGTCGACTTAGGCATAAAGTGTGCTTTCTTTCTAATTCCCCACTGAGTTAACTCTCGTGGAAGAATCTTGCTTTAGCTTTCTTTTTCCATCTCTGGATAGGATAAATCCCCATTTGAGTTATTTCCTCATTGGGTGGAGTCTTGTTTGACTGTTTTCTCTCCAGTTTATTCATGGATTGAGCTGTGTCTCTTGTGAACGATACCCTGTGAATATCTCCAGGCTGTGAAACCTAGATGGAGAGTGCATTTATTTTGCAATTCAAATAGCGGGTCTTCTCAAGAAGGATTTATTCATGGTTCCCCATTGGAGATGAACTTTATTCCCCAGCAGTGTTATCACAACCTTCTTCTGGAATATCGACATGACAACAAGCGACTGACTCTTTATTTGAGCAGTTTGATTAGTTCTGATTTCTCTGTGACAAATGGCGGTCTCTTCATGAGCAGTTTGTCCATCCCCGATGAAATTATTGGTTCTCACCTCCAGCAATATCTTCACGATATTTTATGGGTATCTTTTTGGGAAACAGCAAGCGGCAGTCTCTTCATGAGGCAACTTGTGTGTTATGGATACTCTTGACAAACAGCAAGCGGCAGTCTCTTCATGAGAAACTTGTATGTTATTGATACCTTAGAGAAAACATCAAGCGGCGGTCTCTTCATGAGCAACTTGTATGTTATTGATACCTTGAAAGAAACAGCAAGCGACAGTCTCTTCATGGACAACTTGTATGTTATCAACACTTTTAAAAACAGCAAGCGACAGTCTCTTCATGGACAACTTGTATGTTATCAACACTTTTAAAAACAGCAAGCGGCGGTCTCTTCACGGACAACTTGTATGTTATCAACACTTTTTGAAAACGGAAAGTGGCGGTCTTTTCATGAGCAGCTTGTACGGAAAATGGCAAGTGGCAGCTTCTTCATGAGCAGCTTGTACGTTAGTATTTTTGGAAGACAACAAGTGGCAGACTCTTCATGAGCAGCTTGTGTGTTTTGATATTCTTTGAAGACAGCAAGTGACAACTTCTTTATGAGCAGCTTGTGGGTTTTGGCAACAAGTGGTGGCCTCTTTATTTGAGCAGCTTGTGTATCCCCAACAATAATGTCTACTCAGCAAATGGCATCCCTTCGGAAAAGTCCCATGGGGAAGTTTGTTATTTTTTCCTTTTCAGGCGATATCTTGGTTAAAGAAGAAATATGTTACCGTTCTTGGTAAAATTCAGAAGTTAGAGATGTTTATTTCCAGTCTCAGTACTGATGCCAATCATTTTCCAGTCTCAGTACTGATGTCAATCATTTCCTTTTCCAGTCACAGTGCTGATGTCAATCATTTCCCTTCTCTAGTCTCAGTACTGATGTAAATCATTTTCTTTTCCAGTCTCAATACTGATGTAAATAATTCATTTCTTCCCTCAAAGTTATTCTTTAATAAGAGTCTCTCATTTGAAGTCTATGACTTTGTTTCCCCAGTGGAGTTATAATCTCTTCCCCAGTGGGATTACTGTATATTGTGCTTGGTTTCTCCAGCAGTAGTTTGCCTCATACGGAATCCTTCCTCATTAAATTCAAAATGTTACATTCATATCAGATCATAAACATAATTGCGGTATCTTATGGCCAAAAATTATGTATTCTATATTTAAGTCCCTTCGATCTCGTCGAAATGAAGATTCCAATCTTCATATCTCCGGATAGAAGAAACTTAAATAGGGGCATCTGTCATACCCTAATTTTTGACCTAAGATCCCGCATTCCATCCGCATCATTGCATGGCAAGAGTTCACAAGCAATTCGACCTATTTTTGCCAATTCCCGAGTCAGATTTCAAAAATTCATAACTTCTTCAAATTTCAATATTTTGAGGGGTTATTTTTTGCATATGATTTTTCTTGACACCATCTACAATTTTTTCTTTACAAGACAAGAGATGATTATGCATTGAAAAGCCACGAAAAAGTTATTAACGTTCGAAGTTGTTTCACGAATTTAATGGAATTTGATTCTTAATTTTGGACTATGTTTTATCCGATCATAAATTTTACACTTTCTCTTCTTTTATTTTTAATTCCATGAAAAAATCCTAAAAAAAAAATATTTAGTTCATGTCATCTTAATTTTATTTACATTATTATTCAAAATATCAAAAAAAAAGTAGTCTCTTCAAGTTTCATTTAGATTTTTATTCTTAAGTCAAAATTATAGTCTTCTAGATTTAATTTAGTAAAAATCTCAAAAAAAAAACATGTCTTAGCATTATTTTATTTTAGCATTTCACTTTAATCACAAAAAATATATAGTTAATATCTTTTCCTTTTAATTCTTTTAGTTATTATAATTTTCATTTCTTTCTTTCAATATTAATCTTGATTTGGTTCTAATTTTAATTCAACTTTTTAGTTGAGTTATTATTAAAATTAAAATTAATTTTAATTTCTCTTTAATTTTCATGTTTTGGAAATTTTTAGTTTAATATTTTTATTTTTATTTTTTGTTATTATTATTGTTATTATTATTATTATGCTATTCCTCTCCTTGTAAAAAATGTCCAAACAATAAAATCAGTCCAAAACCTTGCTATTGTCCCTATCCTAACTGTCCATAAAATCCAAACGTGCTACACAACAAAACTTGCATAATGCTCCAAGCATATCAGTCCTGCAAAATAGTTTAAAAATATGTTAAACAGCCAGCTGCTACTGCTACCCACAACACTCCAAAATTTGTCCAAAAGCAGTTCGAATTACATTAAAATGGCAATACAAATCTGCAGCAAAAAGGTGTTAAAACAATGCATCACAAAGAATTCAAATCCATCTCATTTTTCCCCCCAAAATTTCATTATGTTCTCTATATAGACTTAGACTTGGTTAACAAAAAGAAAGGGAAGAGATATACCAACAACATAGAAAATCTCAAGGGGAAAACAAAAAACAAAAAAACAACAACATAAACCAATTCTCCAATCCATCTCTCTCTCCATCCGTGGGTATAATTAAACCTGAGCAAACTGTAGAGATTTGAGTACGTCATGAAGATATGAATGCCACTGAAGATGTAGTAGACGGGGTACCACAGAACTGGTGGAGTGAAGACACCAGAGATAAGGAAGTAATTTTGGTTGTTCGTGTTCAAGGCAGTTCCACAGTCCAAAGTTGCAGTCAGAAGATCCATGTCCGCCATTCCTTCTCAGCAAAGCCGGTTCGAAATGACTCAAAATCCAACAGTGCAAGAAGAAATCAAGTAAGCTAACTGCATAGAATAGTTAAAGAAATTTAGTAGTTCCACTTCCACTTATGTGGTTGATGACTTCAGATGGAAATGTTAATAGCATAGATGCAAAACATTAGAAGCATTGTTCAAATTGTTGTTGAACAACCAAAAACACCTGTTATAAGTCTTAGTACAGGTTAGGCATGCCCAAGGGGTTCATAATGTAGAAGGAGAAAAGAACCATGATGCTTACTTATCTTATGATTATTTTGATGCAAACTAATTACCCCCTCTATTCTGCAAGCGATAACCACCCACCTTCCAACTTCAGACCGCTTCACACCTTCACCTTAACATCTCTTTTCCTCTTCCACTCACTCTCATCATCATTTATTCCTAGGTTGTTCAGTGAAGTGCAAAACCGTTAACCATGTCTCCCGGTCCTATTGTTGACGCTCCCACCGACGGAATCGCCGAACCACCACCAGCTACCATCGACAAACCCCATCAACCAAAACACCACTTTCACTTCCAAACCTCTCGACACCTAAAACCTGCTTAGATTCCATTTTCATTTTCTGTACTTCAATTGCACTCTCTTTCACTCTCTTCATCAATCATCACGCTTCTTCACAATCACAACACCAATATTCACCTTCTTTACAAAATACAAATGATGCATGAACTTTCAAACTCTACCATCACTTTATGGTATTCAAATCAACCTACAAATTCATGTTTTTCACACCATTCATTCTTACTCAAACAAATTCACAAACACATGGTGCTCACAATCTAACGCTACTTTGAACCAATTCAACACTTCCAAAACAAGTTCACGACACAATCAACACAAAGCGACAAGACTTGAAAATCTAAACAGAACAACAAAAGAGTAGAGGAGAAGGAAAAACATTGGGAAAAAGTAGAATAGTCTAACATCCACGCCTTGTCCTCCGCCGTCTACGGGAAAGGAGACAAGCTGTTTCACGCCAAATCTGGACCGTTGAATTTCCACTCGTCGCTGGTTTCTCGTGGTGCACAACTTGCTGTGGATTACGATGACGACGCGCAACACGATGAAGGTGACGAAGGACTGGAGATCGCAAAGATTGGAATTTCTAAGGAGATCGTGAACGCTCTTGCAAAGAAAGGTATCACGAAGCTCTTCCCCATTCAGAAAGCTGTGCTGGAACCTGCTATGCAAAGGAGGACATATCATAACAACACTGTATAAGGTATTTTTTTTTCCTTTGCAAGAACTGTTGTTGTTGTTTATTCACTGATATTTGTGAGGATAGAGGAGTGTTGTTTGTTGTTATTGGTTGGTGATAGGAGGGTTTGTTTGAAGAGGAAAAGTAGGAACGTGAGAGCATAGACAAAGCTGGAGAGACTGAATCGATGGAAGAGTAAGAAATTTTAGGATTTATTGATAATTATGTTAAAGGTAATTGTTGCCCCTTTCCAAGAAGAAGTCAAACGACCAGACCTATAAACAACATTGAGTTTCTTATTTTTGAATTTTTGGGCCTTATCCTGTGACCCGCTCCGGTCCAACAACACCTTAGTTTTTTTTATTTGTTTGAAACATTTTGGGCTTCAACCCAACCAGTAACCTGAGCCCATCCCAATTTTCACCTCAAAATTCTCTGAGTTTATGTTTCACCTCCTTTTATTATTAATATAGTTTAGATTTTAATTAGGAATTTTATAATGAATTTAGTTTATATTTAAATTAGTTTAGATATAATTTAGTAATTTTGGAGCTTTAATAACTTTATAATTCTTCTTTAGTTTAGATTTAGTTTAGTGATTCTTTAGAATTTTATTTGATTTAGTTTAGCAACTTTGAAATTTTTATTTGTTTTAGCAACATTAGGATTTTAATTTATTTTAGATTTAATTTATTAACTTTAAAATTTAATTTAGTTTAGGTCTAATTTAGTACTTTTAGAATTATTTTTATATTCTTAGAACTTGTAGTTAGTTTAGAATTATTTTAGCAAGTGAGCTTAATTATTTTAATTCAGTTCAAATAGCTTCTTTAGATAATTAGTTACGTTCTCTTTTATTTAAATATCTCTGGCATTTTAATTTTTCGGTGCCTTTTGGTCATTAACCTGTTTTGTTAGATTTATTTTTCTTGTGAATTTTGATTGCTTATATTTTGATGTCTATTTTATTTTGCTCGCTCGATTTAATCCAAGGGAAAGAATTAATTTGTTGACTTCATGTCATCGAGTATCTAATACGATTGTGTGAACCCCTTCATACATTTTTAATTTTGTAAATCTTAAGTTAAATCTCCTCAAAACCTAATTTCAAACTCACACCTTTTAAGTCAAAACTTCGACACTAGGTCGTCGTATCTTCAAAAATCTCGTCCATACCCATATTTTGACCAAACAAACAATTTTAACCAAAAACAGATATTTCAAAAGGTTCCTGCGGAGTACCGCAGATGCATTGGGTGCTAATACCTTCCCATTGTATAACCAACCCCCGAACTCTTGATCTCTTTTCAAAAATGCATTGTATTTTCATTATTTTACATTGCATGTTTTAGGGTTTTATTTCGCTCTTTTCCCTTTTCCCTTGGAAATAATAAAGCGCGGTGGCGACTCTTGCTTTTTGCGAGTCAAGTTAATTAATAGCTTGATCTCCGATTTTCACTGCTACACTTCCCTTTCTATAATCTACCTCCCGAACCCGAGAAATATCTCAAAAAGGAATTTTTCTGTGCTTTTGTCCTTTCCTTGTTGGATAAAATAAAAGACGGTGGCCACTCTTGCTTACCACGACATTTTGCAAAAACAAACGCAAACGTGAACCAGCATTCCAAAACAGTCAGTTCTCATTCCCACCGATCACAGAACTGGCGACTCTGCTGGGGACAAATTATAAGTGAGGTGTACCTTAGGATTAGATCATTATGTTTTCAATTGTATGCTTTGTATGCTTTAATTTTGTGGGATTGTATTGGAGTTTTAGAGATCCTAACCCAGATCTGGGGATACCCTTTAGGTAAGTAGCAATAAACTGTGAGGGATCTGTACGGCATAGACCGATACAGATGAAGCAGTAGCTATGTTGGTGTGGCACCTTAGTCTGTACCAATATCCCTTGTGTTGGAACGAGGAGAATATGGGTCTTTTAAGGAGTCATTAAGCACCAACTGACCTTAGAACCTTAAATTGACCAACTTGGCCATAGAACAGTAGCAGTATACTACACTCATTGAGACTAAACTCTCGCGATGATTCTGGCCGCAAGAAAAGGTTGCTAAACTAGAATTATGACCGATTGAGGGTAGTCAGTGATATTGAGATCCTCTAGAACCCGGTTACTATTTTTAGGTCAGGCTTAAACCAACTGAACTGAAAGAGGGTAGTACCTAAGCTCCATGCCAACCTGAAATCTAAGGGCTCTCTGTGTGACTTGTGTGCCTTTACCATGTTTGCCTTTTGTGGATATTTGTGGTGTGCCTTTATCATGACATCATGACATCATAATATTGCATGCATCTTGCATAAGGACTAACCTATTTCAAGGACAAGAGGGTTTCATCTTTGCTCTATTTTGTAGGTCATCATGATGCCCATGCGTAAGAATACTATCCGGATCAACTTTGTCCAAGTCCCTACCTTGCTTAAAGAGTTGGTTGTCAGGATGCCAGACACTACTTCCTTTATCAGGAGGCATGGTTCTCTTCTCAGTTTGGTCACCTCCAAATTGGACGAATAAATGATGAGTGTCCTGGTCCAGTTTTATGATCCACTGTACCATTGCTTCACTTTTCAAGACTTCCAACTAGTTCCTACCCTAGAAGAGTTCTCTGTGCTGCTCGGTATCTCTGTTTTAGAGCAGACTCCGTTTACTGGTTGGGAAAAGACTCTTAGACCTGAAGAAATTCCTGTAGCCCTTCATTTGACCAAAGAGGAGGTAATGGCTAACTGGGAGACTAGAAGTGGAGCCAAGGGTTTTCTTACTAAGTTCTTGGTTGACAAGGCTAATTACTTCTGGGATAGCCTAGACTTTAAGGAATTCGAGGATATTCTAGCTCTCTTGATTTATGGCTTGGTATTGTTTCCAAATCCTGACACTTTTGTTGATATTAATGCCATAAAGATCTTCATCTCTCAGAACCCTGTACCCACTCTCTTGGGTGACATTCTTCATCAGCTCTATGCTCGTACTGCCCGAAAGCGGGGAACCTTGATGTGTTGTGCTCCTTTATTATCGAGGTGGTTTATTTCGCACCTCCCTAAGTCAGTGCTGAAGAACAAAGAAGGAATGGGCTGGGCTTATAGGGTGATGTCTCTTTCTCATAATGACATTATCTGGACTTTCAAAGGTATGGATGAGGTGACTGTCATTGATCGCTGTGGAGAGTATCCTAATGTTCCATTGATAGGGACCCATGGAGGAATTTCATACAACCCATGCTTAGCTCTCCGTCAGTTTGGAAGATGTTGTACCCCAAAATTTGCCCTCCCTTTTTCACAAGAAATCACAACTTCAGAGTTTTCCACTTTTTGTTGAGATTGGCTCAAGAATTGATCAAACAGACTTTTCTTTATCAGTCAATCCAAAATTAGGGTTTCCACTTATTTTTGTTGAGATTGGCCCAAGAATCGGTCAAACAGACTTTTCTTTATCAGTCAATCCAAAATTAGGGTTTCCACTGATTTTTGTTGAGATTGGCCCAAGAATCGGTCAAACAAACTTTTCTTTATCAGTCAACCAAAAATTATGGTTTCCACTAATTTTTTTTGAGATTGGCCCAAGAATCGGTCAAACAGACTTTTCTTTATCAGTCAATCCAAAATTAGGGTTTCCACTGATTTTTGTTGAGATTGGCCCAAGAATCAGTCAAACAGACTTTTCTTTGTCAGTCAATCCAGAATTAGGGTTTCCATTGATTTTATTGAAATTGGCTCAAGAATTGATCAAGCAGACTTTTCTTTGACGACAAGTCTGGAATTAGGGTTTTTCACTCGTATTTCCCAGAAGAAATTGAATCCACAATAATTCAATTGACTGTTACATTATTTTTACGCTTGTTCCAGATTACCAGTTATTTCTCAAAATCTAAAAATCTGGGATAGGAACTGAGGCTTTTGATTGAAACTTTGAAGCATTGGCTTGATCAGTGAAGTGAAAGGTGTATGGATGTTTGTTTGTTTAACTGTACAAAGCATATGATTAATTGGAATGCCGGGCGTATTATGGTTAATGCAAGGTCGCGAGACTGCAAAGTTTGTTGATTATTTATTTTATCTGAGTTAAAATTATTGGGATGCATTTCCAGTTGTTTTAATTTAAGAGATTTAAATAATTAAATAGACAGTGCAAAGGAAAGAAGGAAATATTTGACAGTAAAGAATTCTTATTTGACAAAGATTTTTATTTATTTATTTCAAATATTGTTACAAAATTTATTCGAATATTGTAAATTTATTTACAATGTTTACAATAATATTTATTACAATAAATGAAAATAAAATAAATCTAAAGCCTAAGTTTCTTGAAATCTTCTATCTTCTATTGTTTCTTCCATTATTCAACTGATGATTACCTGCAAAGGACAGAAGAAAAAGAAATCAGTGCAGATAAATTGAAAAGTAGTTTTAAGCAGATAAATAAAAAAAGATCATCATTAAAGCTTGTTGGCCGGAATCAGATTGTTTTTGGTTTCATCATGTTTTACTTGTCCTCTTTGCAAATCACAAGAAGATTTCTCTTCTTGGTTCACAAAGAGGAAAGTAAAATAATTTTGCAAGCATATTATCAATTAAATGCAAAGGTACAAGGCACAAGGCTGCACACAAAGAAGGCACAAGGCTTCACACAATGTCAAACTGAAATGCCAAACTGAGTTTCACAATGTCAAACTGAACTGCCAAACTGAGTTTCACAATGTCAAACTGAACTGTCAAACCAAGTACACAAGCTGTCCAAAAAGCACAATGCAGAAAATATGGAAAGTACAATGCAGAGATAAACCAAGATACAAGCAAGCAGGCTTGTCAAAAACATCTCATCATGTTCTGGCCAACAAAACTTTTCAGAATAAAGATATAATAAGCAATTTAAAAGTGCTTTTGGGGAGAGAGAAAGAGAGAGTGAAGTAGGTTTTGCAGTTTGGCAGGCTGTACAAAAGCAAGGAGAAAGAAAATAAATAGAAGATTTTTTTTAACAGCTCAGGAGAGAGAACCAAAAAATGCAAGTTCAAAA